GCAGTGAATCTCGCTCCCAGTCAAGAGAGATCAGATCCAGTATAAGTGGAGCAACAGAAACTAGCTTTGATGGTGAACTCGCAGACGGTGATGGAATCTTTGATGCTGGTAATCCCTTAAGCGATAATTTCGGCTGCGACTTTCTGAGACGTCCATTCTCTCGTCCACTTACTTTTCTTGTAGAGCCAGTTATCTTGTAAGATACAAATATGGGCCGTGCATCCTCTCTGACTTTCTCCCACTGGCCAGCTGCATGTAGATTGTTCTCCACATTTTGGCGGGCAATCCTCAAAACATATTCTTGGTCGCTCAGCACTATCCTCGCTGGACGCAAGTGTGGTGGGGCAACAGCAAAGGAAAGAGCCATAATAGAAGATACCCCAGAGCCAAGCTCCAGAATGGTGGCTTGAGGGGTGAGAATGCCGTGGACTGCAAGAGGATTTGTTGGCGACGTAAGGAACGATGCGAGGAGCGGTGTGAGGGACCAAACGACTGTTGAGATGGCTTTGATTAGGCTTCTTGGCAAGGGTATCACATGCAACTAGGAAACCGACGCACCAGCCCCGGTCGTTCCACCCAGCCTTTGGCTCTTCAGCAGCTGTGGGGATTGATTAATGGCAAACTCATGGCCATTTACTGTCACGGATAGACTAGACGACGTGGGATCAATAAAGCCGAGGTGCTTTGGAGGTGGCCGGTGAGCGAGAACAGCAAAAGTATCTTCATAAAGAGTGTCGGAGTTGGCTCCGTCGAGCGGATCGCCGAGGAGGGCGAGAAAGGTTTGAAGGGTCATGTGCGTGCCTCGGGAAGAGGGCTGAGTGGCTTGGCGGAGGGAATTCTATCTCGCGTGGAAGCTGAAGGTCTGTGATAGTAGATACCCCTCGTGATATGGGAACACAAGTAGGCGTGCCAAGGTTACCTAACATCTGGTATGCTTCTGAAGCCTAACGCCAAGCATTGCGGCCGTCGGTCAGATTAGAGTGTACCATAGTCTGGTTGCATGACAGTGTACCATAACTGACTGAGAGATGACAGTTCTCTACGAGAGGCGGTGCCCGCCAGAGCCTATGGTCGATGGCGACGTGGACCCGTTTATTGTCCTTGGTCCTTGGCACATACCCAGTACATAGAATTTACTCTACTGGTTTGCTAGCCTCAAGAGGTTGTGCAACCAGACTACACTTCCTACCAGGAGGCTTGGCCCTCGGCACCATTTGTTGACTCAGGACCAGTGTCACACACGGATATCACCGTTGCCCTGGTTACTTCTGTTCTGCCAACCAGACAATTTTTCTGTCCAACTTCCCAAGATTATAGCCTAGGCCTCTCTACGAGAGGCCGATGCCCGCCAGACTACCCTAGGCTAGTCTGGTTGCATGACCCCTCCGTAGTGCCACGGTTACGGGCACACCCAGTTTTAGGCATCACATGTGGAGCGCCTCTTCTGTAGCCACGACCATCTGCTTGCGGGAGTATGAAGGCCGGGAGCCTTTGAGGAGCTTTCGAAAAATGTGGTTAGCCTCTATACTAACCCAGAACCTGCCCAATTACCTAGTCTGGTTGGCGCAACCTCCTCGTAGACTAACCAATTACCGATAAACACCCATCCCGCCGGTAGCACAATTTAAAAGAATTCTATACGTAGACTGGTGGGCGCAGTCTAATTGCCAGACTAGGCGTAATCACAATCTCAACCAGACTAGCCCATCCCCACAAATTATTAGTGCAGCCTTGGAATGTACCTGTGCGTAATGCATTGCGTTAGGTTCATATACAGATGTAGAGTACAGTGTAATATCCGCGTTTATTATACCGTACTCGCAATAACATTGCTGGTCGCCTACATGTACTCTACACTTATGCTGCAAGACTGGTCAATCAGGTGCTTCTAGCATCATGCCAGTTTGTTTTACCAGTTGGCACTTGTACTGAGCCGTATGTGATCGTCGATAACTTGTATCACTCGTGATTCAGATTGCCTGTGTAACTTGTTAGGTACCCCCTGTTCCTGAGTCTAAATTCCCACCCAACCATCCCACATTCCCCCCCCTCTGCCGTCCTTTCCAGGAATTCTTCGGGGATACATATTGTTCCAAGCTTCTCACCCTCAACCCTCTTCTCCCTCTCATCGACATCATCCTTAAACCCTGCGTATAGGTGTCGGGAACGCGTTACAATCCCTCGGCAGTCCACACCATAATTTTATCACAATGGCGAAGAAACAACACCACCTTCAGCCATGTACCACACGCAAGCCCCCCTTCAGCGTCCAGGCCCCTGGTGCCGAAAAGAAGGAGGGGGAGGGTATTCCCCGTCGGAATCCTAATTGCGTAGATGGCGTGAAGTCTTATCTTGAGGAAGACTGTCAGACGACTTATGACATTGTCATGAGAGGCGCGAGGAAATTTGGAGACTTGCATTGCATGGGGTCCCGAGAGCTTATTCAGATGCACGAGGAGAAGACAATGATAAAAAAGATGGTTAATGGCCAGGAGGTTGAAATTTCTAAGATGTGGAGCTATTTTGAGAAGTCTGGATATACCTACATTAGTTTCAATGAGTATGCTCAGTTGATGCATGATGTCGGAAGCGGATTGAGGGCCTTGGGGTTGGAGAAGGGAAATAGGGTACAAATTTTTGCAGCTACTAGGTGAGCTCTCTAGAAAGTATGCGATGAAAGGCATCATTTCTAAAGGCGTTTACCAGTGCGAAATGGCTAGCAATGGCTCATGGTGCCGGCTCCCAGTCAATGACTATCGTCACGGCTTATGATACTTTGGGTCAGGAGGGTTTGACCCATTCATTGGTACAAACGCATGCTAGGGCCGTCTTCTTGGATTCACATCTGCTCCCGCAGTTGATGAACCCCTTGGATAAGGCGACGGAGGTACATTACGTTATCTACAACACTGAGGCTCCAGTGAAATCAGACCACATTGATAAATTGAAGGACAAGCATCCGCGATTGACAATTCTCAGTTTCGATGATCTCGTTAAGCTTGGGCAAGAAAAGAAGCATGATCCCGTACCTCCTTCACCAGAAGATCTGATGGGTATCATGTATACATCTGGGTCTACTGGCCCTCCAAAGGGTGTACCCTTACTGCACAAGGCTGTAGTTGCTGCAGGTAAGGAATTCAGTCTGCATCCACCTCAATCATTACTAATGTAAATACAGTTACTGGTGTTACCATCGTTATTGGTCCTTACATCGGCCCTGGCGATCATCTCATTACCTACCTACCCCTCGCACATATCCTAGAATTCGTGTTTGAGAATGCCTGCATCTTCTGGGGAGGTACAATGGGTTATGGAAACCCCAAGACACTCGCTGATAGGTCCATGCGTAACTGCAAGGGTGACATTGCCGAGTTCCGACCAACCATCATGGTTGGTGTTCCGGCTGTATTCGAGACCATCAAGAAGGGTATCATCGACAAGATTAGTCAGGCACCAGGAATTAACCAAAAACTCTTCTGGACTGCATTGAATGCGAAGCAATTCCTTCTGAACACCGGTCTGCCGGGTGTTGGGATCTTGGACAGCGTCATCTTCAAGAAGGTGAGGGAAGCTACTGGTGGCAGACTCCGTATTATGATGTATGGTGGTGGCCCCATTGCAAAGGAGACGCAGAGGTTCCTCAGTATGGTTATTGCCCCAATGATTTGTGGGTATGGTTTGACCGAGACTTCTGCGTGAGTAACTCCATCTTTACCTCAGCTATGATAAGCTCGTTGCTAACTGGCACCAACAGGATGGGTACCTTAACCGACCCATGTGAATGGACTACCGAAACCAACGGAACTATCGTTGGTTCCGTTGAGATTAAGCTCGTTGACTATCCAGAGGCGGGTTATTTCACCAAAAATGAACCTGAACAAGGAGAGATATGGATCAAGGGTGACAGTGTCGCAGTTGGGTACTATGAAAACGACAAGGAGACTTCAGAGGCATTCAAGGATGGATGGTTCATGACTGGGGATATCGGTGAATGGACGAAGGAAGGTCACCTTAGGATCATTGACAGGAAGAAGAACTTGGTCAAGACCCAGAATGGAGAGTACATTGCCCTCGAGAAGGTTAATAACCACTGCATTGGGATTTTATGTCTAACAGTGATACTGACTGTTTTCTAGCTCGAGTCTATCTACCGATCTGTCACCGTAGTACAAAATATCTGTGTCTATGCCGATCAAACAAAGACTAAGCCCATTGCCATCATAGTGCCTGTTGAAGGGGTCCTCAAGAAGCTTGCTTCCGAGCTTAAAATTGAGGGCGAGTATAGTGATATAGTACACAAATCTAAACTTCGATCTGCGGTATTGAAGCATATGCACGAGGTCGGAAGGAAGGCTGGTTTGGCTGGAATTGAGTTGATTGAAGGAGTAGTATTGTCTGCTGAGGAGTGGACACCTGAGAATGTGAGTTGGAAACCAGCTTGTGTTAACACCCTACGATAGCGAAAAGTGATTTACTGACATTCTGATGTTTCTTAGAACATGGTTACCAGCGCACAGAAGTTGAACAGGAGAGGTATTCTTGAGAAGTACAAGTCTGAGATTGAGGAGGTTTACGCCGCTGCTTAGGCAAATAATTCATAGCTGGAGTTTGTTGAGACGTTTAATGGTTTACGTGGATGCGGTCGTGGATAATCTATGAATATTGGCATGCGTGAGGGACTTTCTTGTGTCACGGTAATAATGGTCGGCTTGATATATCATTTGCTTTATTTCTTCCAGCTTGCTAAATAGTGAGCCTTTGCTGAGCTCTGATTAGGACATCATGTTAATGGTTTTTGTTTATTGTTCCAGCAAGACAAAGATTTGCTTACCCTGAGCTTTTCAGGTGATTGTGGCTTAGCTTCGACATAATACCTCCACTCAAATATGGCTGAAGCTGCCACATTCGTGATACTTGTCTAGTCCTGCAAATGTATATGAATGGATAATGGCGATCTGATAGTTTGACTAAGTATAGTTACAGAATATAAGTTAATATAGGACGTTGTGCCCGAGTGGTTAAGGGGATTGACTCGAATCGACTTGATCCGGTAATCAATTAGGCTTTGCCTGCGCATGTTCGAATCATGTCAACGTCGCCATTCCTTTTTTTGCACCCATTTTTGGTGGCTGTAGTTTCCACCACTTGCCAGAACATATTTTATTTAATCTGCCAAGTTCCCTATCGTGGGGAGTCAGACTGACGGCGGGAACGTGAGTCTATTGACTCCATAGCTATAAAATATCCTCCTGTGTTAAGGTCCCCCACAAGCTAAACCACGCCAAAATCAAAAGTAATTCTCCTCCTCTATACAACCAGGCTTGCTCTCTAATCCAACAAAATAAATATATATATTAATACCTCTCTTCAACCTATGCTCCACCTACACTTCCGCAATCAAATCGGGTAGCATTACTCCCCTCAGCAAGACAATGGTGTTCCCCGTCAAAACCGTATCGCCGAATTTCTCCGAGAAGCTGAGCATTCGGCCTCCCTCGACATGGAATATCCGTAATCGTTGTTCTTCGTCGTCACCGCGGTTATTGACGTTCTGGATTTGTAGGGCTGAAGCAGCTTGATCGAGGACCTTTCCTACGCTCCAGTCCTGTATAATGGGTTAGTATCTGTTTCCCCGAGATTGAAACTGTAGGCCGAAGAATAGGTACCTTGCTATAGAAAAACTCGCCCTTGGGTAATTTACTCATAGTACTTCCCTTCTCCGCCTCAACATATACCCATACTCTCTTATCCATCGGCACTTTATCATCCCCCTTGGCCTCCCTCTTCAGCCTCAACGCCTCCACCACCGTACTCCCCTGCCGTTTCTCCCTTACCTTCTCCCCAACCCTCTCACTCTTCCCCGCCGTCCAAGCCTTAAACTTCGCCAGAGCCCCCTTCGCGGTCGCAGTTGCTTGTGCTTTTGCCGTGGGTGGGAGGAGTGGTGGGAGGGTGGAGCAGTTGTGGGAGTCCTGGAGGCGGTGAGAGAGGCAGTAGGTTCGTTTACAATTTGGACAGAGCACGCCCGCACTACGCGCTGTGTGGATGGTTGTTTTGCATGGTGGATGGGCGCAGGTCGATGGTCCAAGGGTTCGGCCAGTGGAGGAGGAGGAGGGTGAGGGTAGGGTGCCCACTTCGCGGCGGCGACGAGCGGCGGCCCATTTACCCTCGTGAGGACAGGTGTGTGCAGTTTCGGTGCGGTGGTCAAGGCAGAAGGTCCTGTGGGAATATTAGAATGAGGGGTTCGAGTAGATGAGGTATGGGGAACCTACCCAAGACAACTCTCACATTTAAACGGTAAGAAGTCAAGCTGATGACAGCTCTTTACGTCACAGTGTTTTCCGATGGCGCCGACATCCCGCTCCTTAATCTCGGAGTAGCTGTGTTCCCCGGTTATGACCCTCTCGTCGTAGTTGTTCATATCCCAGTATATATATTGCCGAACCCTATAGCTTTGGTGGTAAAGTGTATTGTAGACGAGCGTATGATGTGAACCTCCGTTTCTCTGACAGACAACGGGGCTTTATTGCAAGCAAATGAAACCCCGACTCCAACTCCAGAAACCCAGCTTTGATAACTGGGGAGAAGAGGCTGGAAGACGCGTAACATGATAATTAGGAATGACCCACCGGAAGCCAATTCACAAGAGCTTCTAGAAGCACTAGATTTAAAGTGGGATTTCAAATGTTACTGGGTCACGTGGTGTGTGAATAAAGCTTCAAGCGTTGAGGGTAATAAGCTCGTCTGGCGGATGTATCACAGAAGACTACTTTAATTCCATTGTGTCTTATTGAGCAAGATAGAACACAGTTGCGAAAGACACAGTGGCTAAAAGCAAAAAAGGAGCAAAATATGAGGTATGAAAAGCGAAAACGCAAATAACACCAAAGGGATTGCTATTTACAGAGGTCTCGTCCTGCACCACCCACTCCATCAACCCTGGACCCCGTCAAATATCGACCTACACTTTAAGCCATAAGCTTAAATACCACAGGAACAAACGAGAACTGTAAGGAAAGATATAAAGTGGAGACTGACAAGTCTGGCTCGGGATAAACGAAAAGCACAAAAGAAAGCTTAGGCACGGCCCACGTGTGCAAGAGTCAATTTGATGAGACAAGGGAAAGCACCTGATAAAGGAAATATATGTGGAAAAAGCAACCCCAGATGCCATAAAACAGACGAAGATAGAGGTAGTAGTGGTTTGAATAATGAGAAAAAGGACGAAAGTGTAAACTGGATAGTGAGACAGAAGAAAAGCTGTGAGACCGAATCGGATCAGCTACGACATATAGCCAAAAATAGAAATAGGAAGAAAACAAAACGAAACTATAAAACCCAGAAAACGACAGCCAGACCAAGCCAGACAAGACAGATGACCAACTTTTCTCTTAAATTTTCCTCTCCAGCACCCAAAAATGCATCCCAGAACAAAGCTTTCAATTCCCCCTCCCAAACCGAAGTAATAGTAGAAAGAAGGAAATGTGCGAAGAAAAAGGATCATGACTTCATCTCATCCCCACTATATGGTCATGTTCATATCAGCCATGTTCAACACCAGCTTTCTTTAACCAGGATTTCGTTTTTAAAACCCCACATCTATTGAACGTTAAGAAAATGACGACCATCCTCCTGCGTAGAATTCTACATCACATAAAGGACCAGCTTGGCGTTGCGGTTTATGGCAGTAAAGAGGTCGGCATCGCCAATCATGTTGACAAAAGAGTTCGACGGCTCATCTTTATATTGGATGCAGCTGAGATCGATACTGCCTAACCTCTCATGGAGTTTCTCCTGGAGTTGTGAAAACGACACATCCCTGGGTAACCGGAGAGCAATCATCTCATCCTGGTAGGAAACCTTGATCTTGATGAAGTTCTGTTGCTGGGTTGACTGTGTGCTTCCTTCCCTCAACATCCTTGGTGGCTGTAAGTCAGATACTGTTCGAATATGAACCATATGAGCCTGCCCAACACTGTTTGCTCGCTGACCGTGTGCACGGGGCACCTGCCCTGCATAATTATTGGCACTGAGGTTTCCACCGGATGATTGCCTTGACAACTCCCGTGAAGAGTCACTAGAATGTTGAGATATTTGCGAATTTCGCTGGGGAAAGAGTTCGGAAACGAGAGCTTGCGAAGCATATGGCTTCTCTATGTCATTTGGCCTGGGGGTAAATAATTCCCGTATTAGCTGACACTTTGAGATATGCGGTGGCATTTCCAGAAGCTTCTTAATGTATTCATCTAGGCTTGCCCTTCGCGCACTAGAGATCGAATCAGTAACGAATGTCACAGGCCCCGGCATAAAAGGTAATGTTCGTGATGCTGGGTTATTCTGGCCAGCCTCCTCTGGGAACGTCTTCAGAAGCGTAATCTGGCAATCGTAAAAATCCTCGTAGAAGCGGCGTAGGGCCCAGTGCCGACCATCCTCCATAGTACAGTTCACCAGGTACCAATACCGCCCCCCTTCGAAACTGTAATCATCAACCGACGCACCTACTGGTGCAGGTGGGTAAGAGATCATTGACTGCGAGCCAACCCGAGAATGGCGGCTTTGTGAGTTTTGTATATCCTAGGGTCCACTTGTTAGCAAACTGAGATTTTGGCATCAACCCGGAAAGCATACATAGCCTGTATCCTGCTGCATTGCATTTTGCTCGGGGGCATCGTTTGCGAATTTACCCAGCGAGATACTGCTATTTTTATACTCTGCAATCTTCCTCTTCCATTCCTCCACTTTTGGAACACCCGCGCGGCGAATTGCCTCGTCCTTGTCTTCACACGGTAGGCCAGTAACCATGTCGCGGATTTCGATAAATCCCACGGGGATGAGGCCAGGGCCGCCTAACCTTCCAATAGGCTTCGCAACAAACCACTCCTTGTTGGACTGAGCAATGACGATGACAGCTTCACCTTCCTTCGCCTCCAATTCGTCCGGTCTTTCTGCAACAAAATCATACTGAACAATACCGTACAATGGACCTCCAGCTTTCTCGTGGGTGGATTTTCTCGCTTGGCCGCGGTCAGTTGTTGATCGGTCTGAGTATCCAGAGTCAGTGTCGGTGACTGTCCTCTCCAGGGATTTGGATGAATCAGAACTATCGCGCCCAATTTTCCCCAATATTTGGAACCATGCTACAGGAACTAAACCTCTAGCATTGGTCGCAGGATTGCATGCCTCGTACCATTCTGAATCATTTTCTCGGCCGATAACGTGGAAGAAATCACCACGGGAGAAACCCAATTCTTCGTCTGTCTGCGGGGTGTAATCGTAAAGAGCTTTAATGACCTAAATGCGCATACTTTTAGCGAATGCCTAGTTCTACAGCGCCAAACTAGGGAACAAAAATTTGCAAACTGACCTTCTTTGGGGGTAGGATAGTTATTGCTGACTTGGGGGTTATTGACATATGCCCGGGCTTTGGTTCGTAGGTGTGCGTTTTGTCGCCCTTAATAGATCTCCGAATACCCTGCGCAGTTTTTGGATCAGTCGTGCGATTCTCCAAAGAGTTATCGTATGCGTGGCTACACCTACCTTAATCATCGTGGAAGTCGCCTCTATCAATCACCAGCGGCCCCAAGAACTGCAAGCTTTTGACGTGGCTGGTAGAGATAGGCTAGGTAGAATTAAAATATGGGAAGCGCTGGGTCTAGATGATAACCGCAAGTTGCAGATGCGTTCGCAATGTTACTGTTACTAGCAGGAAGCTGCCTGCGGCTATCGTACTTTGACAGCAGGAAGTCTCGAAGGGATAGGGGAGAGACAGCTATTTGGTAATGGGATGTGAATGGGATCTGTGGGTTGGCCTTTGCTTGTGCAAGAGTCGATGTACGAGGAAGGTCTGTGCAGGAAGGATGGGAACTGGCAAAAACAAGTATCAAGATACCAGCTCGAATGTATCGAGTCCAGATACGTAGGGACCAGAAGTGTTGACCAGAATGAATTCAGGGAGACGAGGGCTCCGTAGGGACGGAAGTAATGGCTGCAGTGCGTAGCAGCCTGCAGTGAATGCGACACGCGCTGTATGGTCGGTCCTTTGTGGGTGGGTGGGTGGGTGGTGGGGAGGGAGGGGTGTTCTGGAAATTCGGGGGGTGTTGA